CCAGCTCATTGGAGCTACAAGTTTAGATTACTTTTTAAAATAATTGCTCTTAATTTAAAAACATAATTTTTTAAAAAAGAGGCAAAGCCCATGAGTGCTTAGTTACTTTGCTCATTCAGGTCCGACACTCTGTGGCCCCATGGACTTTACCCCGCCAGGCTCCTCTGTGCATGGGATGTTCCAGGCAAGAATACTGGAGTGGGTTGCCAATTCCTACTTCAGGGGATCTTCCTGACCCAGGGATAGAACCTGCAGCTCTCACGTCTCCTGCATTGGCAGGCAGGTTCTTTACCACGAGTGCCACCTGGGAAGCCCTTAAGCCCATGAGACCACTCTGCTTCCCTGACTCTTATTTTGGGATGGAATTTTCTAGCCTTGGTCCATTATGAGAAGTTTTTAAGATAAAAATCTTATGTTTATACTGAGTGAGAGAAAAAAATGGAGAATATTTAAAGAAAAACAAAAAGCATTTTGCATTTCCAAAGTTATTATACAATTTGTGGAAAACAAACACACACAAAATGACCACTCCCTGGGGTACCATGGCCTATGGATGCTGTGTCAGGAGAATCAGGTTGAGGTAGGCTCTCTGGGACAGGCAACACTCCAGCTAAGTCTTGAGGGAAGAGGAGATGCCCAGACGAGATCTTCAGCATCCCCTCAAAATCTCTGGTAGCATGTGTGTAAGCCCATTTTACAGAACAGAATATGGAGACCCAGAGCTTCCAGAACCTTCCCCTTTCACCAGTCTCCCTGGTTCCTTCCTTGCAGTTCATTTATTCAACAGATGTTTGTCTGGGCATACTCTGTGCTCCCAGACGCCAATGAAGATGGGTAAGAGGTTAATGGGGTGGGGGCTGGACCCCAAAATGCAGAGAGGCCAAGGCTTGGGTCAGCTGCTTAAGAGCCTCTGTTGGCTTTTTCTTGGCTCTTTGCCAGCTGCCCACATGCTGCCTTCAGCAGGGGAGCCATATGTCTTATCTGCTTCACAGAACTTGGGGTCATGCAGCACAGAACAGCTTTGTCTGGGAAGGGCATCAGGGAGGGCTCCCTTAAGGAGGTGGCCAAGGCCTGAGGGCCTGGGGACACCAGCCTGGCATAGCACAGGCACTGCTCCCCATCTGGGACAGGTCTTGGAGAGGTGGGGGAAGGTAGGGTTGGCCCAGCTTTCAGATGATGGTCCATTCCTGATCATGTCACAGTCTCCCTTCCCTTGGGAGGGTGGCAGGATCTTTTCTATCCCTTAGATGAGACTTTTAAGGCTCAAGCATCAGGTGTCTGTCAGAACCATATCCCTGACATGAATGGAGCAGGGCCGAGGTGGCAGCTGAAGCAGTCTGAGTCTGTGGTGAGCTGCCGCCTCAGTTTCCCTCCCTACCCATGGTAGGTGTTGCTGGTGTCCCAGGAGCATGCCATTCCAAGAAGCCCCAGAAAAGGTGGATGGGGTCTAGACTGAGTTCATATTGGCCGAGAACCCACTGCCTCCCACTGCTCCTAAAGAGGTCTTTGACACAAGTGGATGTTCTGAGGCATAACAAAATGTACAGTTTCTTGTACAGATGTCTCAGGCCACTCCCAGTTCCCTAACAGTACAAATGGAGGCCAGCACCACATGCTTGAATACCCAGAACATGTAACTGTGCCACAGATGGCCGAGAAAACATGTTGTCTCACTCCTGACATGTTATAGGCTGTTATGGACTGAACTATGTCCTCGTCAAAATTCGAGTGATTGAGACTTAACCCTGAGTACCTCAGAACATGACCTTATTTTGAAATACGGTCTTTATAGAAGCAATCAGGTTAAAACAAGGTCGTTAGGGTGGCCCTATTCCAATAGAACTGGCACCCCTCTAAAAAGGGGAAATTTGGACACAGAGACAGACATGCGCAAAGGGACAGAACAGCTGTGTAAAAACTGGAATGATGCTGCCACAGCCAAGCAATTATCTGAGGAGAAGTGTGGGAGAGGTGTGGAAAAGACCACTTCTAGTGCCTTCACGGGGAGCACAGCCCTGCCAGCATCTTCACCTCAGACTTCCTGCCTCCAGATCCCTGAGATTACACACTTCCGGGGGCCTAAGGTACCCAGTCAGTGGTACCTTGTTACAGCAGCCCCGGGAAGCATATACATTCTAAATAACCAGGCCCTGGGCCAGCTGTGGTAGTGTAGGGCAGCCCGCAAGCAGCTCCTACCAGCTCTATCCTGGGATTCCAAGGGCCACACCAGACCTCCCCTCCCAACCCTGCTAATGCATCTTCAGACAGCTGTCCTGGATACACTGCTGCGCAAAAAAGATCAGGGCCAAGGAGAAGGCCCCAAGACCCCAGAGGTGGGCACGGGGCCATCTGTAGGGAATTCTGGGGTCCCATGTCCCTGAGGGCTTCCCTTTGGGGCTCAAGGGAAGACACAACATGCGATTCAGCTGGTAAAGAATCTGCCTGCAATGCGGGAGACCTGGGGTCGATCTCTGGGTTGGGAAGGTCCCCTGGAGAAGGGAAAGGTTATGCACTCCAGTATTCTGGCCTGGAAAATACCATGGACTGTATAGTCCATGGACTTGCAAAGAGTCAGACATACCCACCTCTGGGATCCTGTGGCCTTCTCGTTGGCTCTGATCTTTTGTGTACAACACTGTACCCAGGACAGCTGTCTGAAGATGCATTAGCAGGGCTGGAAGGGGAGGTCTGGTGTGGCCCTTGAAATCACTGTCACATGTCCCTGAGTGTGGTCTGGAGGGGGCAGATCACAGTAGGCCCTGTGGATACCCCTGGATTCTCAATGTGGCAGATGGGACGCACATGCTTGGCTCATATCAAGGGAAATGAAGAAAGTCATTATGTGTGACCCACAAGTCTGAAGTGGGAATTAGATACTATGGGGAGAAACAACTCTGATTCAGGAAAGAGGAGGGCCCTTATGTATTACACTGAACATGAGTGTCTACCAGGCTAAGAAAGCAAAGGTGGGGAGGGGCTGGCCTGCTGGGAACCTGCCCTATTGTCCCACAAGACACCAACCTCTTTGCTGCTGCCCGCCAAGCACTCCAGAGCCAGTTCTGTCCACCTGGGCCATCTCAGAGACTTCCAGGGGTGGCTACACTGAACTTCTGGTTGTACCTCGAGCTTCCAAAGAATTAAGATTGTAAGGCCTTTTCATCAGCTGTTCTGTCACTGAACAGTCTTATGGTGGCTCTCTGGATTCATCTTGGTATTTACTCCTAGTCTAATGGTGGATCCCTGGGTCTGTCTTGGTTTGCACTCCTGGTCTAATGGTGGATCCTGTGTCTCTTTTGCTCTCCATTGCTTAGTTCAGCGTTGGGTCCCAGATCCATCTGGGTCTAATGGAGGTCCCTGTGTCTACCTGGGTCTCCATTCCTAGTCAAATGGGGCATTCCTGGATATGTCTTAGCCTGCACTCCTACTCTAATGGTGGATCCCTGTATTTGTCTGGTGGAGAAGGAAATGGCAGCCCACTCCAGTATTCTTGCTTGGAGAATCCTGTGGATGGAGGAGCCTGGTGGGCTGCTGTCCATAGGGTCACACAGAGTCGGACACGACTGAGGCGACTTAGCATGCATGCATGCATTGGAGAAGGAAATGGCAATCCACTGCAGTATTCTTGCCTGGAGAATTCCAGGGACGGAGGAGCCTAGTGGGCTGCCATCTATGGGGTCGCATGGAGTCGGACACGACTGAAGCGACTTAGCAGCAGCAGCAGCAGCATTTGTCTGGTGTCTGTATTTGTCTCCACTACTTAGTAACAGAGGATTCCGAGGTCTAAAGGTGGACCCCTGGATCTACCATGGTCTCCACTACTGAGTCTAATGGAAGATCCCTGCGTCTATCGTGGTCTGTACTGCTACCCTAATGTTGGATCCAGGTGTCTATCTTGTTCTCCACTATGTATTTAAGGGTGTACTCAGTCACTCCAGTCGTGTCCAACTCTTTGTGATCCCGTGGACTGCAGGCACCAGGCTCCTCTGTCCATGGGGATTCTCCATGGAAGAATACTGTAGTGGGTTGCCATGCCCTCCTACGGGGGATCTTCCCAACCCAGGGATCGAACCTAGGTCTTCCACATTGCAGGCAGATTCTATACCAACTGAGCCACCAGGTAGCTTATCCCTTCTCCAGGGGATCTTTCCGGCCCAGGAATCGAACCGGGGTCTCCTGCACTGCAGGTGGATTTTTTACCAGCTGAGCCACCAAGGAAGCCCTACTTTAAGGGCGGATCCCTGGATTTACCTTGGTCTGCACTCCTAGTCTAAAGGATGGATCTGTATGTCTATCTTGGTCACCACTACGTAGTCTAATGTTGGATAAACTTAGTGATCCATCATTAAACTAGGAGAGCGGACCAAGACAGACCCAGAATCTTCCACACACCTTCCCCCAGCTCTGCAGGACTGGTCACCAGGAGCTGCCTTGGGAAGACCCCACCGTGGACTCGTTAATCTTAGAGTTTCCTCAGCATTTCCTGGGCCTGGGCGGGGTGCAGCGCCTGGGCTGGGCGGGGTCCTAGAGAGAGGAAGGGGCGGGCCGCAGCTCTGAGCCTAGCCAGGGGCCCCCTCTAAGGGGGCTGGGTAGGAGGAGTCACGAGAGGGCAGAGGCCCCCCCAGTGGGGTGTGTGAGCCTAGGGCCAGACCCTGGAGGGCTGAATCCTGCCCCCACGACCCGGGGGTCCTCACTGAAGAAGTGCAACATCGACACTCACCACAGAGGGCCTGACCCAGCGACACAGACGGGGTTCACATGTGCTACCCACCCAGAGCACCTGGTCTGGGGAGGACCCTGGTGGTCGGAGGGGCAGGGACCGAGAGCAACGCCTGCGCAGGGCCCTGGAGCGAGACTTTCCGCTCAGCGACTTTCGCCCCCTCGGGGCGGAGGGCTCCCGCGGGGTCGGCCCCGCCCTCTACCCTGCGAGGGCGCGTCCTGGCCGCCCCGCCCACGCTGGCCCCTGCGCGGCAGTCCGGCCAAGCGCCGCGGAGGGCGCGGGGATGCGCGGGGCGGCGGCGACCCTCCGCCGCAGGGCGAGGCCCGGGGGGCGCAAGGAGAGCGCCATGCCCACCCCCGGGAACGGCACAGGTAAGGGCAGAGGCTGCGGGCCTCGGGCGGGGGTCTGCGCCCATTATACAGACGGGAAAGGTGAGGGGCTGCGTGCACAGCCTCGGGCGGGAGCGGGGGGCGGTGGGCTGCACTCTGCCGCGGGGAGGTGCACACCCGGCGGTTAACGCCTCCCGGTCCTCTCCGCCGCCCAGCGGGCGCCCCAGCGGAGCTGAAGCCCGGCAGCGAGTGCCCAGAAGCCAGGCGGCTGCGTTTAGCCGCGCGCCAGCCCAGGTGCGCGCCCTTTCCCAGTGAGGGCCTTGGGGTGATGCGGAGGATGACTGCGCGACGGACGGGGGGAAAACCGAAACCGGCCTTACCTCGGGGAGATGCTCCGGTTCGCTGGCTAGCTCCTCAGCGCCACTTTACAGGTGGGGAAACTGAGCTTGAGGGAGGAGAACGACAGTCGGGCCTGGGGTGTGGCTCCGGTGTCTCCGGACGGCTGACTGTTACCGTAAATGTTTGATTTCTGGATTGTTCTGTAGGAGGTTCGTCTTTCTGCCCGCCTTCCGTGTGGGGAAAGCGTCCCAAGCCTGGGGTTCGAATGTCGGCTTTGCGCCTTGAATGCGTCTGAAATTTAATCCTTTTAGAAACACAGATAAACCCAGACGTTGAGCCCCAGATGTTCCTGGAGGCTTACTGGAGGGCACACTGTCAGCTCCCCCTTAAACCTGAGGGTCTCTGCGCACCTGTGCCCCAGGCCGGGCGATGAATTGTACTGGTGGAGGCCGGGCCTGGAGGAGCAGCCTGGCCCAGGACACGCCCCATTGGGCATGCAGCCAGTCAAGCTTAAAACAGTGACACCTGCCACCTTGGGAGCAATGACGGCTCTGTCTCCGATGGGAAAACAGGCCCAGGGAAGTCAGAGGCAGAGGCATGTGGCTTGATGGTGTGAAAGCTAAGACCTGAGACCTGCCCCTGGCCTGGCGGGGTGGGTTTTTCTTTAACTCCCTCTGGCAGCCTGATGCCCCGTCCCGAATTTAGTGTTTCAGTGTGTGTGAAGAGAGGATAATGTGTGTGCGAGTTGGGCAGCGCTGCCTGGGGAGGTGAGTGTCCATTGTGAGGCAGAGGGACTTGCCCAAAATCAGCCAAGGAGAGCCGGGAGGAGACTCTGGCTGCATACAGAAGACTGTTTTCAGAGAACTGTCCTGGGAGAAAGGGGGTCTCAGAGTCCAGTTCCTGCCTTCTATCTAGCTTGCCTCGCCTGGCCCCAGCCCTGCTACCCTGGGGATCCCAGCCTGTGAATCTTTCCCAGGAATTTGGGGTTGGAGCACCCCCCAACTTGGGGTACGTCTGGCCTCACTGTGTGCCTCAGTTTCTCCATGTGCTAAGTGGTGGGCCTTGTATACCCGCCCAGGCTTGTGGAAGCCAGGGAAGGCCCAATGCGCCCACCCTCACCATGGCTCTGCCCCAGGGTATCACTGTTGTCTGGACTGCTCTGCTCCATAGCCTCAATATCTTGGGCTGTGAAATGGGCACCCACCTCTCCTTGTGGGGCAGTAAAAGATGGGTATGGGGGGGTCTTTAGAGACAGTTTGGCACTGTCTAAAACACAGGAATGGGATGGGTGTTTTTCCTGCAGTCTGTAAAATGGGTACATTATTCTGCTCTTCCTGGAGGAGGTATGCAAATCCAACCAGTCAAGAGTCCTAGGATTCTGTCCTCATCTCCCATGCACAGCCAGGGAGGAGCAGCCTGGGGGAGGCTGAATCAGAGCAAGGCCTTAAATCTTTGTTGAATGGCTGACTGGAAGGCTCCCCTCCCACTGCCCTTAGGCCCCTGGCCCTATTCCCAGGGCAGCTCCAGCACTCCCCAGTGGAGGAGACTGTCCAGGAACATGGCCCTGCAAGAGGAATACGTTGGGGTTTCAGTGACCAGAGATGACCTCCCATACCCCTGAGAGGGGGCAGCAGAAGGACTGCAGGGGTGAGGACATGCTCTATGGACGTCCTCTTGGCTTCACTCCTGCAGGCCAGCCCCACAGCCAGCCTGGGCCCGTTTGATGAAAAGACCGAAACCTGGGGGGAGTGGGTGGGCGTTGGTCTCTCAACAGGGTCTCCCACCAGGGTACAGACAGAGCTGCTGGTTGAAAGAGGCTCTCTGGAGCCTCAGTGCTCTCCCCTGAGAGATTCAGAGTGGAGGGGATGGGGGCACGGGGCTTGCGCTCTTACTGGGTTGGAATTAACCTGGTCACGTTCTGGAGGACGTACGTTCTCATGTGAGCTGACGTGCTGTCAGCGGACTGCCTGGGAGACCCAGGTCTGGACTGTAGCCAAGCACCAGAAGTGCAGTCATTCTGAACCCTGTGCCTGCCTCAGGACACAGCCAGGGCGTGGGCCTCCTGCACGTGGCTCTCCCCACTGCTGGGGTCTTGTGGGTGGGAGTGGGGGGTGGCTGACTCTCCAGAGAGTACCTGTGCACCCACACCCCTCACCCATTTTGATTTCTCTTTGAGAAATCTCTCCTGTGGGTTCCTCTTTCCACTTGAGGATACTGAAACTCAGAACAAGGAAGTGACTTTCCAATCCCGCAGTGACCCAGGCCCACAGTGGGCGAGCCCAGGAACCTGCTTCCCCCATCTCCCCATTGTCCCTGTTGTCCGCAGCCGTGGCCAACATAAAAGGTTAACTTATTTACCTCCCAGCGGATGCGGTCAGGGTTTGAGGGCTGTGTTGGCTCCAGGAAGGAGGATGGGAGGGATGATCCTGTGGTCCAAGGTTCCAGATAAAAGATTAACAAGCAAGGGTTGTTCTTACCCCCACTGGCCAGGCAGGCTGGGGGAGGCATGGGCTGGAAGGACAGGGTATGCAGGCCAGGCCATACACCCACTGTGTGTTAGAGGGTAGGAGAGAGCATTGCCTGGCACTGGGGAGTGAGTTGGGGGAGTTGGATGCACACCTGATGGGCTGATCTGCCTCTCCACTGTCCAGTGACTTTATAGGGTTTGCTTTTGTTTTGTATCTTGCCTGCATCAAATCCATTCCTTTTGGTTTTTTTTCTGTTGTTTTTCCTCTCCTTTGAGATTTATTTGTACATAGTGAAAAAAAAGATGAATTTATAAAGGGTGCAGAGAAAAAAAAATGCACCAAATATTGAGGGGCGCAGGGGTCCAGCCGGAGGAGGGCTGGGGGAATGCAGCATCCAGTGTGTGAGTCGGGCTGCAAGTGGGTAAGGCCAGGCACCAGGGCTGAGTGGGGCTGGAAGGGAAGGACAGCTGGGAGTTGGGGGTGGGGTGGAGACCAGGCCTAGGAAGGATATACAGGGGCAGCTGGGTGTCGGTGAGGATTTTCAGCAGGGGATCGAGGAAGTGGGATTTGCCTCTTAAACACCATGTGTAGGGAGGGACTGTTGGGGGCCCAGCTAGAGCGTCTGGGGGCCTCCAGGCTGTGGAGGGTGTAGTGAGGAATGTGAGAAGGGGCTGGGTTTGCAGTGGTTAGGGGATGTCTCTGGAATGTCTCTGGAGCCAGCTGGTGGCTTCTTGGAATATCCTTAGAAGATGGGTAGACTGAAGCCCTCGTCGTCCCCTGACGCGGTGCCACCTTCCTGCCCCGTCTGGCCTGTGTGTCACAAGTTGGGTAGAAAGGTCTGGTGGGGGGCACTGCCAGTGTGTACCTAGGGCCTTCAACAGGTCTGTGGACCTCAGTTTCCTCATCTGGAAAATGGGCCCAGCCCAAAGTGTCTGCCAGCCTTCCAGGCCCAGAGAAGGGATGCAGGACATCCTGTTGGAGTAAGGGGATGGCAGATAAAAGTGTCTTGGCAGAGTGTCATGGTCTTGGGGAAGACTTGGGTCTGAGTCTGGGGGTAGCAGGTGCAGACCCAGACTTAAGTCTGGATGCTGTGGACTTAGGATGGGGGATAGAAGTGGGGTATTAAACCTCCTCCTAGGAGCATTGCTGATCTCCCAGGCACAGGTTTAAGGCCTCCACCAGGTGGTCCCACTCTTCCTATCACCCTGAAGAGCAGGTCATCCTATTTTGCAGGTTGGCAAACTGAATCTGACCAAGTCTAGGACCTAAGCCTAGAGGTGGTGGAGCAGGGCCAGACCTGGTAGAGAGGGGCTGGGGCTGAGAGGGTGATCCTAGCAGACCAGGCCCACCTGGCTTCTCTGCCTTTGCCTCCCTGCTTGATTGGGCTCTCAGATTACTGTATTTGAGCTCCTTGCCTCCCAGGTAGGGGAAGGTTCCATGATGTACTCACTGCAGGGAGGGGCCTTGGGCAAGGCTCATCGTCCCCCTGCTCTTTCTTCTCAGAGTTATTTCCTCAGACCTTTCATTTTCATTTTGAAAAGAGGACCTGTTCAAACATACACTTGGGCTTGAAGCAGGGGCTCCCTGCCTCTGATGGGCGTGAGACACCTGTATTGGCTGGCAAGAAATGCAGAGTGTGAGGCCACAGGTCTGGGTAGAGAGGCCATAGTGCCTTTTAAAGCCCCCATTCTGAGTCCCCCATCCGAGCAACATGCATGGTCATGGGCAGTGGCGTTTTCACTGGGCCTGGGCTGCGAATTCTCTTGGACCTTTCCCTTGAGTCTTCAGTTTGACGCACACCCTGGAGGCATGCACACGTTAGGCCTGTTCCCTTTCTCTGGCATCACCCCTCTCCCTGACACCTTGGTGAGATTCCAGGAGCCAGGACAGGCTCTGGGCCTCTTGTGGGGAGGGCTCATTTCCGTCATTGAAGCTATGTGAGCCCCTTGGGTGATGAAACAGCGGCAGTGCTCGCCTCGGGATTGCATGTCACCATAGCGGAACCCAGCAGATGTACAGGATGTGGCTGTTGACAGCCGGGCCCTTTCCCCAAGACAGGGGTGGTTTCCTTGCTGGGTTGGGGCTGCATGTCATCTCAGTCAGCCCCCGCTCAGTCTTGCCCGCTGCCGCATTTACGGGTGAGTTGAGGACCGAATTGGTAACCTGGTCACCCCGCAGGTTCAGTGTGGTTTATACCCAGATGTGTGTGTCTGTAGAACCAGCCTGCTGCCTCCA